TAATAAAATAGCAAAATTCCAGAAAATAGAATGTGGGGTCTTGGTGGTCTTCATGTCTGTCTCCTCTGTGGTGCTCAGCACAGATCTGTAAACATAGCTCATCAGTGGAATTTGGTGACATAAACCTAAAAAGCACAGGAATTCTTCTCAAATCATGATACATTAGGCTGTAAGGTTCTGTAGCACCCTCTAAATTCTGTAATTCCTGAAGTGACTTTGAGGAAAATGCTAACCATTGGAGAAGTGTGCGTTACACATGGTAAGGGACACAGGGGTGGCGCCAGGTGACGAGGGGCAGTCTAATGCCAGGGTGGCCCGTGAGTGGATCTGGAGATTAGGGTCTTTCTGTGAACTAGGACTGAACAGGGCCTCTACTCTGAGAGTATCAGACTGCTCACTCTCAGGACCTTGATTAACCTTAAGAAACATTCCAGCTCCCTATCGGGTAGGAATCCAAGACTCCCTCTGCGGACACCAGGCACCAGGGAAACCCAAGTCTGGCAGTTCGGAGGTGAGGCACAGTTTCAGTTTTTAGGACCTAAATTGATTAATGCAAATGTAGTGGGTTTACAGCATAACCCCAGGGTTTGTTGTTGAGTGGTAATTCAAACAATGCAAGCATTCAAGGCACAGAAGCCACAAAAAGGCTGTTTTTTACTTTCTGGTTTAAAAAAAATTTTTTTTATCATTACAGAAATAGTCTATAATATTGTGAACATCCATCTAAAAATGACTGAAAGATAATCTACCTGCCAACCTGATTTCAAAAACATCAATACAATACCTTAACTGTGATACCAAGAATAAATAAAAGGGAAATAATTTACAATAAAAGCAAGTCCACTGCCGTGGGTAAATGTTCCAGTTTGACTATACTGGGTGGCATGATCTAGTCAGGTACGTGCAGCCACTGCGAGGTGGCAGCTACAGATGCAGCTTGATGCAGGCGTATGGTACTCGTGACTCAGATGCCACGAGTGGCTCTTGGTAACATGGTGAATGGCTCATTTCCAGAACATTCCCAAAAATTCAGTGCATATTAAACTGTGCAAAAAAAGACTTTGTTATTAAAATGGAGTTGGATTTAAGGTCAGATAATTATAAACAGATTTTTCCAGCTGAATGTTCAAAAGCCGTGCATCTTGGGAAAACCCTTTGTGTAGGGTATGTCCACACATTGCAGGACACTGGTCCTTGGCCTTACCCACGAGATGACAGTAGAGGGCCCCAACCAGAAATGCCCCCACCAGTTCCCAGGGCGCCTAGATTTGTAGCAGGAGAGCTGTCCCACTGTTTATGCTATAGTACTGTCCACTGTTGTGCCTGTTCTCAGTTTTGTTTTGAGAGAGACAGCTAGAACTCTCAACTGGTGAGCCGCGCAGTCTGGGCATACTTTCTGGACTTCGAAGACTAGTTCTTCCACGTGGCTGTGACAGTTCTTGTTCCCATCTCCAGGGCATGAGACCTACCCTGCCAGCACATACTTGTCAACACATGGTTTGCATAGGGCTTCCTTTTCTTTTCGTGTCTCTTCTTGGAACTGTTTATATTCTTTGCCTAAATTCCTCTTGGATTGCCTGTCTTTTTCATTGATCTGTACTAGTTCTTTACATCTTACGCTTACTAATTCTTTGCCTCTTGTAAACATCGAAAATATCTATTTTGTAACTTTTAACTTTGTTTATGGTATTTTTCTCACATAGTTTTTAGAACGTAGTAAGATTTATCAGTCTTTAGTCTTACGGTATCATCTCATGGTGTGTGCTTTTCAGTTTTTATGTTTTGCATTTAGGTCTTTGATGCATGTGAAATTTATTTTTCTAGATGGGGTATGGTAGAGATGAAATTATATTTTTTCCCCCATTTTATAAGCTAATTGTTTCAGTGCTGTTTACTGAATACCACTTCCTACCACTGTTGCCTTTTGTTGTTTCCGTGTTCCCCCTTTTATGTTTCTGGGTCCCTCATTCATTTCCATGGGTCTGTTACCAGGCACATACCATTACTACACTGTCTGTGCATTTGTTTTTCGAAGTTGTGTTACTTTTTCAAGAGGGGAGCTATGAACTGACCCTTGCTATTTTTCTTTAATCTGATGCACAGCTAACAGAAATAGCTCATAGTTTAAAGTGCCTTTCTCCCCTTTCACTATTCATTCAGGTTTTTCTTAGGTTTTTTTTCTTTGATCATTTTAGTCAGGATCTTTTGTGTACTTGTGGTGAAGTTTCATTTCATCCAGAAGTGACTCTGCTTCCTGTTTTTGATTGGAAATATTTCGAGTTTAAAGGTATAAGAAATCCGGTTATAATTTGCTGGTGGTGTAAAGCCATATCTCTTTTCTTTTTTTAAATCTTAAAACAAATTTTTAGCATTGTTTCAAACTCTACTAGGCATTTTGTGCTTCTTAGGTTCTAAAACTTTGTAAGTTTTTCACTTATATAAATCATTTGAATTGGAATGCACATCTTGAAGGAGCACACTTAAAACCATGTGTTACTATAGGAAACAACTTTGAGTCACTGGCCTAGGATACAGCATTCATAACTGGATCCGATTAGGAATATGAATTTGTGCCTCAGAGAAGTTATTACAATCTTCTTTACAGTTCATTAGTTAATAGTATATACAAAGTTAATATGCAATTCATATTATACACCAAAAAACTAAGTTGATTAACACATCTAGTAGTAAAACAGCAACTACTGTGATGACCACTATCTCCACCATGGCCACCACCTGCATTAATTGAATGCTTGCTCTGGTCCTGGGGCTTTGTCCTACAGTAACCCTATGAAAGTGCCACATGTGTCACTTGCATGTCACATAGATGGAAACTAAAACTTGGGAGAGTTAGGTAGCTGGCATTAAGGTTAGAGCTGTAATTAAATGTAAGTTCCTGGGACTCCAAATGGAACATTAACAAAAGTGCAGGTTGACTGCAGGGAAGAAGTGATGGCTGTTGCAGGATTGCAGAGCAGTGGGATGGAAATATCCTTCCAACCCTGCGTACGCTTCACACAGCAGCTGTGGATGGTGGCTCTGGCTTCTCACTTGGGCTTCCAGCAGTGCCGTCTCCCCACCTCAGCACTCTCCTCCCTCAGCATCTGCCTGGGCAGCTCCGTGCTCCCCCACGTCAGCCTCTCTAGGAAGTCTGCAACCTTTCACCTCCCTCTTCACATAGGCCGACCTCATCCTTCTGCCGTTACAATATTTCTCACATCATATTGTAACTGCCCGCTCATCTGCCCTTGTCCCGCTCCGGACTTTAAACTCCGAGGACACAACTGTACTCGTGTTCACTTGTTCATTGAGGAAACTTTACAAGGTGTTTGTGCCTCTGCCCTTAAAACTAAAGCACTGAAAAAGTAACAAAGCTGGGTGAACATTTATCAGTTTTTTGAAAGGATGACTTTTTAAGCGTAGACACTGAGTAGAAAAGGCTTAAAAAGGTACCAGAGCGGAGAAATACCCACAAGATAAAAAGGGAAACAGTAGTCTGGAGGAAAAAATACGGTAGGAATGAAAATGTTATTACATAAAGTACAAACACAAATGATAGGAAGCATTGTAAACCCAAAAGGAGAGTAGAAATGCTCTGAACAAGCCATCACCTGCTTAGTGTTTCAAGTCAGAAATTGGGATTATTTTTCCCTTGTTTCCTCATTGTTCCTTCTTTCCAACTCCCAAGTAGCAGCCAGGACTGGGCAGCTCCACCTCTAGCTCACCCGTGTTCCTCCACACCACAGCCTTCAGAGGGAAGTCGTGACTTGCCGATGTGGGCATGTAAACATAAGAATCAATTTGGTAACTTGAAGAGCAGAAGGTAAACCAGAAGTTCAGAAAGACAGTGTTCAGAATATACTGACCATCTGCAGCCCGCGTCCCTGGTGATACGGAAGAGACACCAGCTTTATCTTTTCATTAAAACCATGTGCTGTATGTGCAGGAAGGAAATGCATGCTGGTCAGAGGTCAGAAGCAGGATGGATGGAGTTTGAAGAGAGTATTTACTCTGGGGTTTTCCTAACCCCTGACTCCTGGGAGGTGCTGTCTCTAGTAGACTTGATGGGAACTTGGGCAGATCCTCATCTGTCGCATCGTGGTGCCAGTGGGGAGTTAACAGGAAGCCGCGGCCACGTTTAGACCTGTGTGCTGGCCCAGTAGATGTGTAATGAACTTGGACGGTGACCAGATCCATACATTGGAGGCATGGGAACTGAATTTAGAACCTTGAAAACTTTAGTCTGAAGAGAGTGTCCTGCACATGGATGTCTAGAAAGGGACAGTCTGCAGATTGTGTCATGAACTGAACAGTTAAAGGAGCCAATGATGTTTAGTGTGAGATGTAGAAGGAGTAAAAGGATCTGACAAATGCCTTCAAAACCCAAAGGGTGGTTCGTAAACTAGAAGCAGCATGTTCAGTGTACCCCATCCACTTTCTTCGTGGGGCATTCTCTCTGCTCCCATCTCCTCAAAGACAGATACCCCTTCTAGAGTCTTCTGTAGCCATCAGCCAGGACCTTGAAGTGGGGAGGAGGCGGGGGGGGGGGCTGACTGACTTCTGAAACGGGCAGCGAGGAGGGTGGCATAGGGTCGGGTACTCTGTAGCAACACCAAGTTTTAAGTCTCAGTTACCTTTATCTGTATGCAGGTACATTTGCAAAAGGGATCATTTCATGAGAAACTCCATCTTCATCAAATCAGGGTATTTTAAAAACTAAAAGTTATAATTAGATATAATGAGTATTTTCAGACATATGTATCTGGGCGTGATCGTTTCTGTGGTCAGGGTAGGTGTATGTTAGCACAATTGGATGTAACAGGATCCGTGCGTTTGGAAAACAAACACTAGCAGAATTTCTGTATTGTTAACAGCGATTTAATAGTATCCAGAGGTCCGAAACCTCAATGCAGGTCTCTGCATTGATGCTCTTATTTTTCTAGTGTAAATTTAGAATTTATCATCTTTTATTGACCCCCATGGATTTTTCCTCCCTGCAGGAATAGGGGGCCTTCAAGACTTCGTGCTGAAATCCGCAACGCTGTGTAGCCTGCCCTCCTGCCCGCCGTTCATACCACTCAACTTCGAAGCCACCCCGATTGTGAGGGTTGCTATTGAGCCCAAACACCCAAGTAAGATGACCTTGTATTTAAAAGCATGTGATATTCATGACACTTTTACAATGCATGCATTTAAGACTTGGTTACTCACAGTTTGCTTCAGCGGTGTTCCATGACTTTCATGCAGGCACAGAGCAGCAGTAATCTTCCTGGTCAGGAGGCCATACCAACACCAACTCTTCAAAGGGATCCTCACCTCTCTCTTAGGCATGTGGCCTGCTTAGGCACCTTTGTTCCCCGGGGAGACTGTTTTCTCTGTGATGGCAGAGATGGGGTCGTTTCTGTATCCACTTGGGAAATCAGACAGATCCGCTTGCGAAATCAGACAGCACTGTCGCTCCCGGTACAGATATTTTCAGTGTTGTCTCCATACTCCACATCTTTTGTGGAAAAGTTTCTTCTTTGCCTATTGAACCGTCACCCTTACCAGGAAGAGACAGATGGAAGTGTTTATGTTTTTTTTGTTTGTTTAAAGAATTGTTAGATTCTCACTGGCGACAGCCACTGTTTTTACTGATTTTTCCCTTGTGCTTGCTATTCGTGTTATCTGTGGTCTTTCTGCAGGAGTCCTTTGAAGCCACAGTTCAAATTCTGTAAAGGTTAAGTTAGTTAACTCTAGGTAATACCTGTAAATCCCCTTAACTAGATGAAGGAAAACTACAGTGTGCCAAAAACGAACAAACGAGGGTGCCTCTGTCACCCCCACATGCAGTGCAGTCCTGCTCCATCTTCTCTCAGGACTCCATGTATCCCATGTGTGGCTCAGGAGTGCCTCACCTGTGAGGGTGCTGACACCCCTCACAGAGTGTGGGCTAAGGCCAGCTGCCTGCAGGCTTCAAAGCCAATGACTATGTGACCTTGACACAAATTTCTTAGCTTCTCTGTCCTGTCTCCTCACCTGTAAAGTGGGAACAGCAATCACTCTGCCTTGTGGGTAGAGACCGTATATGTAACGTGTCTGACACAGTGTTAGTGTAAAGTGTTAGTTATCATTAGAAAAGCTTTATTTAAAAAATAGACAAGGAATACATATGGATAGTTAGCCTTGTGCCATATATTGAAAACCGCTGATTGCAGAAAGCTCACCTGTGTTTTACTTAGCATGTTGAAAGTGAGCATTGAGGAATTGCTGAATTCATTCAAACGTAGAAATGAGACAAGGCTGCATAAAAATGCCCCAAAGCCACAGTCTCTGTTGAAGCAGTACAAGGGACTTCCTCTGGCTTGAACAGTAGCAGCTGAGTCTATGCAAAGTGGTAAAAAAGCAGCTCCACACAAAGTGTAGATCAGAATCCCCATCCACACCTCCATCCCCAGGAGCTGTGGGGAAGAGCCCTCGGGTGCCAGGAGCACAACAGACTAGAACAGGGAGTGTCCAGCTCCCCAGGTCCAGTGGCCAGGCAGCCGAGAGCCAAGCCAGGGCAGCTGCGTTCCGAGTCCCAGACTTCCATCAACAGTTCCACAAGTAACTATTTTAAATAGGAGGCTCCGGTGCATCCTTGACTTGATTATTATATCAAGTGCTAATGTTGCTTATTTGTTAATTTTATAGATACTGTTTAGGGAATGGTTCTGTTACATTTGTAGGCATATAATACATACAGTTGTAATAAGTTTTAGGTGGATTCACAGGTACAATGATGGTAGGTAGTTGATATGTGCTGAGTACTTGAAGGCGTGTATGGATCAGCTTTGGGAGTCTCGATGATGAGTGTGTAGGTGTCTCATGTTAGCTATCTGTACAAATAATTACCAGAAGGTAGTTTTCTTCTCATCACGGCATTATTTGGAAGGGAAATAAACCGTTATTTTAAGTTTATTTCGTTTTTCTTTCCCCAGCAGTGGCAAGGATGTTGTCTTTAGGTTGTATTAGTCCTTACACTGTGTGTAATCAGTACTTCATTTGTTAATCTAGGTGAGATGCCTCAGCTCGTCAAAGGAATGAAGCTGTTAAACCAAGCTGATCCCTGCGTCCAGATTTTAATTCAGGAAACGGGAGAGCACGTTTTAATCACAGCGGGGGAAATCCACCTTCAGCGTTGCTTGGATGACTTAAAAGAAAGGTTAGCTCATGGCAGAGACGGAGAAAAGAGCTCCAAAATCAATGGATGCTTTAGTGTTTCCTAAACCATTTAAACTTAGATTGTGGTTTGTTTGGGAGACAAGGCGAAATGCCCTGAAACATAAACTGTTACTTGTTACGGGATCATGTATTGAATTTTTAATAACTGACAGCATTTACTTCCGTACTTGAATAATCCTGCATCTTTAGCGTGAGTCAGAACATCTCCATGTATGTGTTTTCCTTTAAGTATCAGGACAGCAAACAAAAGCTTCTTTGTAAACTCAGGCTGTGATTAGGACCGACTTCTTTCCTTATTGATGTGGTTTCTTCAGTGAGAACCTCAGGAAGTCTTGATATTTCTCTATCACGAGACTGTCACAAAATAGGCATCCCAGATCACTTTGTGTAAATAACATTTTCCATCTTTATCCTAGAAACAAAGGATGTATATTGTAGCAATTAGGAAAATACACGGGTGGGGTGGAGGGTGGCTACGGCACCTGCCACTGCTCATGCCCACTGGAGTAGGGGTTTGGGAGAAAGTCCTGCCAGACTGGACATGTCCTCATTTCTGTCTCTCAGTTTAAAATGGTGTTGTGGCTGTTCCTCCTCTAAATATTTTTATAGACGTAGTTAGTACAAAATCAGGAGGTAGATCTTCCATCTCTTCTCATCCATTACCATTTTCTTGACATTTCTGAAGGTTCTAATGTTGGTTAGAGAGTAATTCTAATTGGGTAAATCTTAATGAGTAATGTATTTTAAAATAATAACTTAGTTGTCAGAGGGTTTTTTTAAAAAAAACTATTAAAACATTTTATTATTTTGGGGGCGTCTTTGAACTAAATTACTTTCTCTTCACACTCTCTGCTACCAAATTAAAATCCATGTTAAATAACCCTACATTTACTAGGCCAATACTTAGAATTATATTTCAAGTAATACTCTCCAAGCCTAAAAGGGATTTCAATTAAATCATTTCTTTGTTTCTTTGTTTAGACTTTCCATTTTTATCTTGTGGTTTTCATCATGGGCACTTTTTAATCTCAGGAGGAAAAAACTGTACTTACATAGTAAGAGAAATTAGTTTTCTAGAAATATGCTCTTAACATGGCATTGTAATATCTTAATAAGTAATTCATTATGAAAACCACTCTCTGTAAACTTTTTTTAGAAACTATCCATAGCTAAACACCTAAAAATAATCCAGACTGAAGGAGGGCAATAAAAGTGCTGACACATCTGCTTTTCAAAAAATATATACTGCTCTAATAAGATATTTGATGAATTCTGAAGTGTTTGTTAGCTGCTTTTCCTGAAAATTCTAGTTACCTGAAAGTGATGGCACCTCCCCACTGGCATTCAAGAAAACAGTTTCCTTTGCGCTGGGGCTGGTCCAAAGGAGAAATAAGCTCAGTTCAAGCATAGTGTTCTCATCAGAGCTCAGAGAGTAACCTGGAGCCCAGGTAGGGAGGAGTCTCCTTGGTTCATTTACCTGAGCAGTCAGCTAGACCAACTGTGGGAGGGGACAGTGGCAGGAAGCCACAGGAAATTGCCGGTGTCTGAGCTACTGCATTTCTTTCGAAATAACAACAGGCTCTGTGTTGCCAGGATTTAGAGAACCTTTGGCCCTGAAGCACTTTACAGGTAGAATAACCATGCACATACACACTTCCACCTACGGCAGGAAGTGGTTTTAATTCATTCTGTAAGTGATGACTGTAGGAGATTCCTTGGGAACCTCAGAATTTGAAGGGCCAATGATTCACAGCCCTTTTGACCTTATAAGGGAAAGAGGACTGCGTGGGTGTCCTCACTCTTAGTTTCAGTGGCTGTGTAGTTGATTGTCTTAGTTCTGACTATGTGAGCATGTTTCTAAATAATATTTCCTATTCCTAAGATTTCTAAGTGCTTTTCTTTTTTAAAATCACAATAGTACTAAATTTTATTGAATGCCAGTTTAGCATTTTTAAAGATGGTTGCATAGATTATTTGACATTTCTGATATGTTATTTTAACAGATCAAATACAAATCAACTTTTAAATCTCTGATAAAAGCTAAACAATTATTGTTTTAATAGGCTGTTCAGTTTGATTTTCAGTATATCATAACAGGTAAGAGCATGGGCTCTGAGGTCAAACCCAGGTTTGAATCCTAGCTTCTCCACTTACTAGCTTTTTGACTATGGAGAAGTTACTTATTTTATCTGGTTTTCTCCTCTATTTAGGTTCTGTATTCTAAAGTCAATTTTGGTAACATAATTTTTAGAAAATTATTTATTGAGTTTTCAAATTTATCAAAAAGTATAAAATCTGATAAACCACATACCTACCCCATACCCAAAAAATGCAGGCAGCAGAAATAAATCTAGAGTCAGGTGAAAGCATTTCAAAAACTTTTAGTAGTATTTCCCTTACCAAATAATGTTTCCCAGGGAAAAGTATTATGTCAAGATTCCAAAATTTCATATAATGTATATGTGTACACACTCTTAATACATGTACGTACACTTATACATATATCCACCCACATTGCCAATAGCACATATGCATCAGACCAGAGCTTTAGTATTTATTACCTGGGAATGAGGTAGATGGAAAATAAGAGAAAAGGGAATACTGCGTGGTTTTATAGTCATCAGGATCACCCCACGCCAGTGTCCAGAGTCCACCCTCTGTGAACGTATGATTCATTTGGAAGAAAATACAGCGTGAAACTAAACTTGATAGCACGTGAAAGGGGGGATTTCTGAACTTGGTGCCAGACTAAGGTGCAAGACCTGTGCTGTCCAGTACAGTAGCCACTAGCCACATGTGGCTATTTAAAATTAAACAAGTTGGAAGTTAAATAAAAAATTCAGTTTTTTAATCACACTAGCCACATTTCAAATGCTCCATACATAAACGTGGCTATTTAAATTTAATTAAAATTAAATAAAAATAGAAACATTTCCCCAGTTGTACGAACCATATTTCAAGTGCTCAGTAACAACAGTGTAGATACCAGTACAGTAACTACAGAAACTTCTCTAGACAGACGCCTGGATCATGCTCGCCCTTCTATGAGCCTCATCATCAAAGCCAAATGCATAGGCAGGACTTGACTAGATGTCCTGAACTTCTGTGATTCTTTATCTATTTAGAGTTAGAATCAATGAGCTTTTTCTCTCCAGACATTTAAATTGGTAAATATTATTTTTAAAGAATTCTTATGTCAAATCTCATTAAAGCATTTATTTTCCATTCACAACATTCTTATCTAAATAGATAGTTTATTTTGAGAATAAACAAAGCAGTGAAATTCTGCTACATGCAAAGAACCCCCTGAAGGTATGGTCCCCATTAGTCTTTTCAATCGGAAATGAAAGAGATTTATCTTTTGTAGTAAAATAATTTTTATTTTACTGTTTCTGTTTTTTGCAGAATCTCCATTGTGTAATATTTTTACGTGGGAGTTTTGATGCTATTTTGGTTATAACTTTCTGTTATATTTCTCTTGAATTTATCTGTAGGTTTGCAAAGATTCAGATCAGCGTGTCTGAGCCCATTATCCCATTCAGAGAAACAATCACAAAGCCGCCCAAGGTGGACATGGTCAATGAAGAGATAGGCAGACAGCAGAAAGTTGCCATCATACACCAAACGAAAGAAGACCAAAGCAAAATCCCGGAGGGGATCCAGGTGGACTCCGACGGGCTAGTCACCATGACAACTCCCAATAAACTGGCTACGCTTAGTGTTCGGGCCCTGCCCCTTCCAGAGGATGTCACTCGAATTCTGGAAGAAAACAGCGATTTGATCCGCTCTATGGAGCAGCTGACATCGTCTTTGAATGAGGGCAGGAACACTCGGGTGATTGACCAGAAGACCCAAGAGAAAATGTGGGAATTCAAAGGAAAACTAGAGCAATACCTCACAGGGAGGAAATGGAGGAACACTGTTGACCAAATCTGGTCATTTGGCCCAAGAAAATGTGGGCCCAACATATTAGTGAATAGAACTGAAGATTTTCAGAACTCCGTGTGGACAGGCCCCGCCGGCAAAGCTTGCAAAGAAGCCAGTAGATACCGAGATGTGGGGAACAGCATCGTGAGTGGCTTCCAGCTAGCAACTCTCTCTGGCCCCATGTGTGAGGAGCCTCTCATGGGTGTCTGTTTTGTTCTGGAAAAATGGGACCAAAGTAAATGTGAGGAACAAGGGGTTAGTGAAAAACAGAATCAAGATCTGGTACAAGAGGGACGGGGGGCGGGGGTAAGCTGTCCTCCGGGCGATGAGAAGGAAGAGCTGCAAGACGGCCACTGCGAGCCCTTCGAGAAGAGGGCTTCCCAGAAAGGAGAGTCTTCCCTCCCCGACTGCTACGGACCCCTGTCAGGGCAGCTGATCGCCACCATGAAAGAAGCGTGTCGCTACGCACTGCAGGTGAAACCTCAGCGTCTGATGGCAGCTATGTACACGTGCGACATCATGGCCACCAGCGATGTTCTTGGTAAGGAAGGAAGGTCAGGGGAAGTCTCCTAGATCAGAAAAGTAATCTCCCTTAATATTATTGTTTACAGAAGCTCCATGATCACCTAATTTACTAAGGCACTAAGGTTTTTGAAAGCCAGAGGATTTAAATATTAAAATCTTCAGAGGGGGGAACTTGATTACTAAAGATCTTTTGCAACAAATAGACTATTTTCTGTAATGAACATTCTGGTAAATGAGCTCTAAGCTGCCCATGTATGTTACCATCCAAACCTGTGCAGCATTTTTTCTTACAGGAATAACCCCATCCGCCTGGGAACCAGAGTCATTCTCAGAGTGCAGTCTTGTCGTTCCTGCACTAAGGGGTGTCTGAATTCCGGGTCCCTCTGAAGAGAAGGTGGTATAGGGCTTTATTCAGTGCTGACCATTGCACCAGATTCTCCCGACTATTCTCCCTCGGCGAGATCCTTAGGACCTCAGGAGACATGCAGCCCTGGCACTTCGTAGCTATTTTGACTTTTGACAGTGTTTCTCTGAGGCTACTTTGCTTGGCCTATAAAGAAAGATGGTAACACACTGGAGGTTGGGAAGGTTAATGAGAACGCAGATTCGGGGCCTGCAACCGCAGAGTACTTTCCATGACCCAACAGATACATTTTGGAGCTGCTGTCATTTTGGGTGGGAAAGCATCTCTCCTCCCTTTTCTCTCCTTAGGGTCATTTGGGATCAGTATTTCAGCCTCTTGGTACCCCAGAAGGAACATCATCTTAGAGTTCATTACTCTAAAGACTGTTCTGTTTGTTTCTTTTTCTTTTCCATTTGAAATGGCCCTTCTTAAAGTCTGGGGTCCATGTGGGGCCACAAGAGGCCTTTCACTCCCTTGAACTCCCATGATAATGGGCATTCGTGTTTCCTCCCCAAATTGCCACCCATCCTACATTACCCATTTGGAGTGGCATGTCCTGTGCTTTTTGAAAAGACAGTTTGCGGCACAGCACATGAAGCTTGGATCAGCTGTTGGCATTTACCAGACTGAAATTCCCAGCAGGCTGTTGAGTCACCTCTGTTGAGTCAGCCTGCTCTGTTCTCTCATTTCTATTAAGAAATCATCTCCAGGACCCTGTGTGTGACCAGGCAGCCCTAGGTCGGTCCCTTGAAGTATCAGTTGTCATCCTATCCTTTTATCTCATCCTGACACTCCACTTGGCAACCAGGCTCAGTTCTAGCACTTTCCAGGGAGAGATGCGTATCTTACCCTCAGGGTTATTTGCCCTCTTCTCTCTTAGAAACAAAATGCTTGCCTTATCCAGGTACAGATCCCACTGCAAGGCCTCACTGACCCCTGTGAAGTGGCAGCTCTGTCTGTGGATTGGTTAGTGAACAGTCTGTACCATGTCTCTGGTCAGCCTCCTTATTTTTCTCAGAGACCAGCCAGCTACAACACCCCCTGCCTTAGAAAGAGCTGTATTCAGATTCTTTGTGCTTTTTCCCCCCCTGAATTGGTGTGAAGCCCTCTTGCGAAAACTAGAGTCTCCTCCTAAGCTCATTGCTCTTGAGGAATTCCCTAGTAGTGATAACCAGCCTCTAGCATCCAAGATCTGTAAGAATAGTCAGCTCTTCACTTCTTGTGTTTTCCTTTTTCTTCCTAAATTGCCTCCTGCGGCTGGAAAAAGGAGTGAGGAGACCTCTGTGTTTCTAAGGCCTTTTACTTCCTGCCTGGATATCCAGAGATCCCCCGAGAAGACCTCAGACCTTGCTGTCGACTGCTTTAATTCTCCAACAGTTGGCATAAGACACTCAGTTGGTTGAACCCAACTCTAAAACCTCGGCCTTACCCATACTAGCTAGTGTCTTGTTAAATTTGAGTTCTTACCTATCAGAGTGTTTATTTCCCTGCCAACTTCGCATCCTCCTTGGCTTTGCCTTCATGCCTTCTGAATCTCTTAAGTTACTGTTTATCATAGGAAGGACACAAAGCTGCGAGCAGAGCACTGACACTTAGTAAAGACATCATCCCAGGCTGGGGGCCACTTGCTGACCCCCTCTATGTACACTTAGCCGAATTGGTCTGTACAGTAGCAACTGGCCCACATTCCCCATTATGTCCTCAGCACACGTTATCTCATATTTGTTCGAAGCCCATCTGCATCCTGTCGGCCACGTTTGCTCGATTTAGCAGCGGCTGCTCTGGCAAAAGGAAGAGGTTAGTGCGACCTGGTTTGTAAGAATAAGAAGTGCCCGCCCACTCCTCTGCTGTGCTGCCCACAGTAGCAAAACCACAGGTGAAAGAAGAACCTTCCTCCTCAGGAATTTACCGTTTTCCATTTTCTTTTACAATTTTTGTCCATAATAATACATTTTGCATAAGTATGTCCTGTGGTAGAAGCAGTTCAGTGTTTTGCTTTTTACACTTATTACCTATTTTATAAGCATGCTTCTATTTGGCTACTTAGTGTTCAAAATGTTCATTTCAGTCTCTGCCTAATATCCTGTCAGTCTGATGTGCTGCAGTTTACTTCCTGTCACCCCCAAATTGGAACTTCACATTGTTTCCTGCGTGTTTACTATTAGAGAAAACATTGCTGTGAACAGCTGTTTCCTAAATCCTCAGGGGTGGGGGGGAAAGACCATAACTTTAATTGCCACACTTCCAGCTCTAAAAATTGTAGACTCTGCAGACCTATCTCACTGCCTGTAGTGGAGGAAGATACATGCATAAGACTCTGTGACGCCATAAAGGGACATACTTGGGCCAGGGAAGCCCAAATGATGATGAGATTGTTTTGTTTGGATATCACAGGAGGCTGTGGAGCAAGCTGTTTTGAATGGGCTTAAAGTGATGAAAAGTATTTGACTATAGAGTTGGGGTGAGAGTATTGCAGGCAGAAGACACTGAGCTTAGAGTGGAAAAGCCGCGCCTGTCCTGTGGCCAGCGGGTGGCTCACCTTGGCTTACAGCACAGTTTGTTCTCTCTGCCTCTGGTCTCGCAGTTTCAGGAGCTGTCGTGGTGGCCTTCTGCGGTCCTTGAGGACAGGCTGAGATGTTCATGGCGAAGTCCTGAAAGGGGAGCCCTGATCAAAACTGCCTCAGTCGGTTAGCTTTAGTGTTGCTACTTGTTTTCCTGGTGGCTGTCTCTTCCCTGGCGCCTCACTAACTGTGTGGCACACCGTGGTCCTCCCTTGAGTGAGCAAGCAAATGACCGAGGTGGGATGGGGCAGGTGCCCACTGAAGGGGCATCGGAGTACTTGCAGCCAGAGGCCACATGGTCAGAAGTCCTCGCTAATGTGGCCACATTGATCTCTGTGTCAGCAGTGGCAGGTCTCCAAGTGCATCCAACCCTTGGGCACACCTGTCACGAGAGTGAGGTGTGTTGGAAGGTTTATTATGACTTTTCCTGCATCTGGTGACCCAGACCATCCCTGTTTTAGGGCTTAGCGTTAGTGGGATCTAAACCAAATGGCTCAAAGTTATGAGACGGTGACGTTTAGTCTCAGCCACAGTCAGTGGCCCGAGCCTGCTGGCCTGGCCCAGGGGGGCGGGGGGGCTCCTGGCATCTGGCCCACCCTGTGCTGCATGGAGAAGGGTTGTTGTTGGGTGATGCCCTTCGGGGTGATTTCACTTTTTGTTAGCTTTCGTTTCTAATTTCTCTATAATTGTCATGCTTTACTTTTTAAATAAACACTTTAAAAATGTCCATGTTTTTGTAAACCAAAATTATTGGGAACAGAGTTACTCTACACATACAGAGTGTTACAGGGTATATGAGTAAGCGCGACTGTGTATGGCTCAGTGAATTTAAAAGATTTATGGTGTTGCAGGTCGGGTCTATGCTGTCTTGTCAAAGAGAGAAGGTCGAGTGCTGCAAGAAGAAATGAAAGAAGGCACGGACATGTTCATCATCAAGGCTGTGCTGCCTGTTGCCGAAAGCTTTGGCTTTGCCGATGAAATCAGGAAGCGGACGAGTGGCCTGGCCAGCCCGCAGCTGGTATTCAGCCACTGGGAGGTAAAAACCCAGATCCCCCCATTCCTTCCTTCTCATCTATGGGTGTGCTTCCTACAGGGACGCCAAGAGCGGCAAACGCAACTCCCCCTGCCGTTCGGCCTTCCGATGGCTCTGCTCATCCGAGCGACGGGAAAGCAGATGGTCTTGATCCATCCAGACCGAGGGAGCCTGCGGTTGCAGGTGGCTCATAATACACGCACTTGTTCCTCCTTTTCACCTGATGTAAAACTTAAAACAGACATTTACTCCTTTCCCCTCTCAAGATACATTGCCGGTTTTTAAGAGAGTCATAGACATTTTGAAAGTAAAACTTTTTTCTGAGGAAAAGTACTTCTGGCATTTAGAGGGGAACCTTGTCTGTAATCAGAAATGAAAACATCACAGTTCCCCATTGCTGGGGAGAGTGTGGTGAACACGTTGTTTCTCACTTGGGAGGAGCAAGGGACACGGCAGTGCGTCCTGCCTTGTTGATCGGACCCTCTGAAGGAAAGGTGGACGCGAAGAGCCGAGGAGGAGGGTGAGTGCAGGCGCTGCGTGAGGGAAGGCCGGCGGAGGAACCGGGCAGGGCGCACGCAGAAACAAGTTCATTTTAACAGTGACTGACTTTAAAATTTTTCTTGCATTTTGAATCTTTGTCTAGAAACTTAATGGTATTTTTGATGCTTTTATTGGCTTATATCTGAATAGCTGTCGTTGGCTGTGTTTCATTATGGGGAACACAGTAGCTCCAGAGTATTTAAGTTATTTGTTAACCCCCAAGCTTATGGGTAGTAATTTTCCGGTCATTCAAACTTCCAGCTCTTTGGTTTTGGTTCTTGGCACTCACCTTGTACGTGAGAACACAAACCAGTAAGAAATAGCAGGAATGGTAATGGCATCCTTATTGGGAGAATTAGATATTTGAATTCATGTATTTTATTGTTTGTTACAATACGACGTCATTTTACGGTTTTGTCCTTAAAAGTGATTTTATAAAATACAGTGGCTCAGATAAGGCAGAAGATTCTCTTCGAGTGTGGGGAGCAGAGCCCAGGCTCTTCCTGTTTTGCTGCCTTTCTCAGTGCTTGGCTTCCACCGATGGTCTAAAGTGGCTGTGCCCCCCCCCGCCCCAGTCATCACATCTGCCTTCCAGCCAGTGAGAACAGGGATGGGGAGAGGACACACCCTTCTCCTTAAGGACACGCACTGGATGTGGCACCAGCCACTTCTCACCCCATTGCCCAGAGCCAGTCTTGCGCCACATCTCACAAGGCCCCACCTGACAAGGAGGCTGGAAAGTGTAGCCTTTAACTGTATCAAAAGTCAGCAGACTGCCCCATTGCCTGTTTTGGTTAATGAGATTTACTGGAATATAGTCATATCCATTCATTTACATATTTTCTGTGGCTGTATTCAAGCAGAGTTGAGTAGTTGTGGCAAAGACCCTATGTATATATGCCTGCATTCTACAATAGTTACTGCCTGGCTCGTTATAGGAAAAGTGTGCCTCCCCTCCCATCCTCACACCCCCACGCCTAGGTGCCCTGGTATGTCCACCAGAAATACCTGTTACCAAAGAAAAGGGAGAGAACGTATATTTAGGAACAACTAGTTTAAAAACAGCAAATTTTTACCAAATAGGCAGTTTTTGTTCATGTGAAAACCATAATGGTTTTTCAGTCCCCTTTCTCTCTCAAAAAGAAAAAAAGTAAATAAAAGTGAAAATTAATCTTATGTAATAGTTTTTTAAAAAAATAGTTTTTGACTTAGTTACAGCTTGTTGTTAAAAATTAGTCTCTTAATAAATAACTTCAGAGAAAAACGTAGTTAAGAAGAGCCTGCTCCCGTTTTGTGCCATCCTTCTGTCATCCCCTTGCCACCTGTCGTGGTCCTGTTCCCAAAAGTGCCACATCTCTGAAAGTCTTGGAAACTACATTATAATTAAATGTCATTGATCTGATATTTTTTGGCTGTCTCAGTTTTCCCCCATATTTAGGTTTAGAAATAACACAGTTGTTGAGATCTGGCTTCTCACTCCAAGGCACTTTTTTTCATTTGTACTCTACCACACCATGTAATTTACAATCAAGAGCTTTTGAGAGAGAGTGCTTCAAAAAAATACAGAAAATAAAATTACAGGCATTTTCCATGAGGAAACCTTTGAAGTCAGCAATCTCATAATTTCTCTTTCTATGTTTTACTCTTCTGTGGAAAGGGAAGAAAAGGAGCTAATAACAAGCACAGAAAGAAAATCCTACCAGCCAGTGCTGTTCTGCACCTATGTCAGCATACCCTCGAGATTAGCTGCTGAATACTGGGGTCACTCCGAGGGGTGGGCTGAAGTTCACGCAGGGTGAGGGGGAAATGATCACAGTAGTGATGAAGTTTGTTTTCGACATAGTGTTTCCCACCTGCTGGCTGTAATCATGGTGAAAATTTGGCAGATAAATGAAACCGAGTCCTCAAAGCTTTTTCCTTCTAGGCTTTTTTTTTTTTTT